ACCCCCCCCTTTGTCATGCCTGTGAGAGCCACTGCTCCTCCGAGCCGTCTGCTCCCACAGTGGAGCGACCGCTGCTTGTGCCGTCTCCAGACCCTCCCCCGGGGCACCCCCTCCAGAAGAGACCTGTTGGGCGAGTAAAGGGCACAGACCATGGTGTGCTCGTACTCGCTCGGGGCCTCGCCTGGAGCGGACAGCAAGAGAACACCAGCGCGTGCTGGCTCCGTCCACGTGCCAGGCGGGGAGCTAGGCTCACCACCCAGCAGAGCTGGGCCCTGGTTTGCCTCTGATAGGTTCTGGCTTTAGCTTCCCTCCTAGTTTTAAAAGTGTTTTCTTTTGCTCTCAGATTTTTCTTTCTCTTTTTGAGAGATTTTTTTTTTTTTTGCTATAGGGCATGTACACGTCACATAGACAGAGACAGCGAGAAATCATCCCCCAGGGGGGATGGCCACACCACAATCCCTTCTCCTCCATTCTCCTCTCGGGATCTTGGGCACGCATGCACACATGCCCGGCGTGAGTTTAAGCTACCAGGTCCAGGACTCGAACCGCGGTCAACTACATGAAAGTCCAGCGACATAGCCATTACGCTAACTGCTGGCTCCCAGATTTTTCTAAATTTCTCCTCTGTGTCAGAGAGTCCCCAAACTGTCAACTAGATCAGTCCCAGAGAGAGCCAGCATTGCTTACCTCCGAGAGAACGACTTCCCAAAGAATACGTGGATCGTCAAAAAAGTTAGTGGAAAATGCGTATTATGAAAAAACTAGGTGCCAATTTCAATATTTTTTGCACCAAAATAATGGCCAAGCCACAATCCCTTCTCTTCCATCTTCCTTTGAGACTCTGCGTATGCACACTCGTGTGCCTTGGGTAAGTTTTAAGCCACTGGGTCCAGGACTCAAACCGCAGCGTGGGAATCCAGTGATGTACCATTACACCATCTGCTGGTCTAATAAACTTACTTTTTAATTCCATCTTTCCACAAACATTTTGAAGTGCTCCTGTACAATGTGAATAGTGCCCCGCCCCTAGAATCGTCCAGCTACGGGTTCAGAACTAGTGTTTAGGGGCCAGCAGGTGGCATGGTGGTCAAGGCGATGGACTCCCACATGGCTGACCATGGTTCGAGTCCCAGACCTGGCTGCTTGAAAATCACACAGGTCTCATGATTTGTGGGTGTGTCTAAAACCCCAGGAGGAGAAGGGATTACGGTGTGGTCACCCCTCCTTGGGGTGACTTCTCACTCTCCTCACTGTCTCCCTCTGCTGGCAAGTGCGCACGCCCTATGGCAAAAATGTGAAAATAGTCTCGTAAGAATAGCTACACATACCAGCTGCTGAGCATTGCACTGCCTGCAGGCTCTCTGCAAGGGATTTAGCTACAGAAAGTGCGTCTTCTCCCACGATGCTAGCAGGTAGGCCTAGCGGTGAGGAATCTAAGTCTCCCAAGTGTCAGCCGGCCCGGGCCTCTCACACACAGCTGGTGAGTCTGCTCACTCACAGGCCGTGTGCTTGTCCTTACACTGCCTCTTCTAAAATAAAGACCTGGGAGAGAAACGCGAACGCTGTATTTCTGCTTCTGTGGGGGATTTATCTTCTTCTCGCCATCCATACCTTAAGGCCATAACGGTTCCCCACGTACCCCTTGCGGAGAAAGCTGCCTCCACTACTGGGTTCAACACCAACATTCCCGCCGGCAAACATTAAGGCCAGAGTGGGAAGACGCAATGCTGCTGCCGGCCACAGGAGGGCGCCACGCTCCCTCCTCAGTGGTTGTGGGACGCAGGGCCGCGCCCAGGCAGCGTGCTTACCCCCTTTCTCCTAACCCAGGCACTAAAGGGAGGGCGAGGGCATACAGCCCAGATTCTGGGATCTGGATGGAGAGAGGAGAAAGGGCAGAGGGCCAGGGAGATGGGGCTGGGGTCAGCAGACCCCACACTACAGAGCAGGGGCACCCGGGAGGGCTCAGCGAGGAGGCTCCACCAGCACTCCCGGGCGTCCTCCGCAGGCTCTGCGGGAAGGGAAGCCAGCGCCCTGCCTTCCGCCCACTCCAGGACGGCCAAGGACCCCCGTGTCCTAACGAGAGTGACTGCAGACCGGCCAAGCAGGAAGCCACAGGCGGTGACACCCTGCAGCCTGGATCCCAGTGCCCGGTGTAGACAGTCTCCTCCCTCGATTACACTCTCGGTCGCTACCACCCACGAGGTCCGGCTCTGCTCAGCCGTCTCCGTGTCCTTGGAACAGTCACGGCGAGTGGCGGCCGTCGCTGTCGGATGCAGCGCCTCTCGGTTTGTGATTCCCGCTCCTGGGCCTGTCTCGCCCCTCCGAGGCCCTGAGGGCACGCCCTGCTGGCCTGAGCACAGTCTCCTCCCTCGATTACACTCTCGGTCGCTACCACCCACGAGGTCCGGCTCTGCTCAGCCGTCTCCGTGTCCTTGGAACAGTCACGGCGAGTGGCGGCCGTCGCTGTCGGATGCAGCGCCTCTCGGTTTGTGATTCCCGCTCCTGGGCCTGTCTCGCCCCTCCGAGGCCCTGAGGGCACGCCCTGCTGGCCTGAGCTGGCCGCGTGGGGGCCGTGGGTGGCGGGAGCAGGGCCGCCCTCCTGTGCCCGCCCTGCCCTGGCCGGGGCCGGCATGGTGAGGGAGGCCGGCGGGCAGGGGCTTTCTTCCTGGGGACACGAAGGGCTGAGGGGTTTTCACTGCCCGCAGCCCACTGGGTCTCGGCTCTTTAACAGCGGCCGCGCGGGAACTCAGCTCCCCAGGAATCGATCCCACGGCCCTGGAGTACCTGGGAACCCCGTCCCTTGCCTGCCCCAGCCAGCCATCACCAAGTCCTGTCAATCCTCCATCCGATGGACCCCCAAAGCCACGAACCTCTTTCCACTTCCACGGCCACCATCCTCCGCCAGCTCCACCACCACTTCTTACTGCGCGGCTGCCTGTCTTCCTGCCTACCCGCCTCCTCCTGACAGCATCCGTGCTGCTTGAAAAGAAAGAGCTTCGGGACCAGCAGTTGGCATAATGGCTATGTCGCTGGACTCCCATGTAGTCGACTGTGGTTCGAGTCCTGAACCCGGTAGCTTGAACTCACGCTGGGTGCATGTGCGTGTGCACCCAAAGAGCCTGAGAGAAGACAGAAGGGATTGAGGCGTGGCCATCCCCCCCCAGAGGGTGCTTTCTGTCTGCCTGTCTCTGTCTCTGTTTTTCTGGCGAGCGCACGTGCCCTTATAGCAAAAACCTCTCCAAAAAAAAAAAAATAAGATCTTGTTAAAATGCAGATTGGACGAGCTTGCCATTCTGTTTAAAACTCCTCCTGGGCTTCCTACTGTCCTTAGCACAGAGTCCTCCATTGTTTATTTTTCTTTTAAGAGGTTTTTGCCATAGAGCGTGTGTGCTCCCAGGAGAGAGAGACAGAGGCAGTGAGAGGGAAAGTGAGAACTCCCCCACCACCACCACCACCCTGCTGCAGGAAGGAATGGCCACGCCACAGTCCTTTCTCCTCCTGGGAGCTTAGGCATGCATGCACACATGCCCAGTGTGATTTTCAAGCCACTGGGTCCAGGACTCGAACTGTGCTCAGCCATGTGGGAGGCTGGCAATGTAACCATTACACCACCTGCTGGCCCTTCCATTCTTATCCTGGCTTATTAGCCCAAAGGACCCACCCTCTGCCTCTCCACGCCTCTCTAGACCAGCCCCTCCCTCGACATAAATATCCTGGCCGGTGACCCTTCTGCCACTCCCAGTGCTCTCCCTCCTCATGTCCCTCGGACAAGCCAGTCCCTCCACGTACCGTGTCCTCACCTGCCCGGTGCAGACTCACCCTTCAGGGCACAGCCTACACAGCACCTCGGGGAAGCACCTTCCCGGACCCAGCTGAGGGCAGGCCTCCCTGCTCTGGCTCCTACAGTCCTTGTGACCTCCTCGCACCATTCGCATCTATCTTTGCCAGGGCCATAAGTCCCATCAAGTGACACCTGGTCTCCTGGTGTGTCGCCTGACTCCGGGCTCCAGCAGGTGCTGGCACGTAGCAGGCACTCCGAAAACAGTCGGCCAAACGAGGGGGCACATGAAGCAATGAGTGGAAGTCACCTCCCCCCCGCCAGGTGGTACCCGGACACTACATTCAGCTCTGGA